GCCTTTTAAAAAAGTAAAGCATAAAGTTTCTTTCTGTGTATTTTCCATCCATCCATTTTTTTGTCACGCTAAATCCCAGCTGGTGTTGCAAATGATGCTGGTGCCTATATCCAGCTGTCTGCGTCTACTTTCTGTTTATTTTTTTTCAGTTTTAGAACTTATGTGATCATTTCAGTCAAGATAGATAGAAAGAAATATCTAAATATAGATGCATAATATACATTAATTATTCATCTTTTTGTAATGTTTTCATTTTTTTAGATTAACCTGTGTAAACAGATCAGAGGCCTGTGCAGAAATCAACTGTATGATTTAAGATGCTAATCTGCTTTCAGTTCTTGCCTTTCTCTGCTTGCTGTTAGTATTCCTTAGTAGTAGTTTCCTTTGAGGTGGCAGCTGCAACAAAAGGTGATTGCTCAACAGATCACAAGAGAAAGTGAAATCCTATCATCCTTAAAATCTCTTTCCAACCTAAGGCTGCTAAATATTTTTGTCCCTCCTCCGTCTTCTTTCCTCATGATAAGCACTTTTCTCTCTTCTATCAGAGGTAGAAATTAAACAATGACATGCATGACTGTAATGCATCGTGATCTGAGGAACATCTACTTCATACCTCTGAGCGAAAGATAGAGCAGACAGGGGCTGTGCCAAGCTCAGCACACATCATATGTGTAATTACCATCCCCCAGAAGCCTTCTTCTAGATTATTTAAATGAGTAATTAGTGATGGATTAATTACATTTTCTACATTGATTCTGATTAGATGTGATGAAAACTTTGAGTTTAATCAACCTTGCAGCACCTAAGGAGTTTGGTTTGAGTTTGATGTCGGGTATAAAATTAGTTCAGACGTAATTAAATATCAGATTCGCTTGACTATCATTAATGCATACGCTAGTGTTCAGTTGGATCTCTTTTTATGTATAAGAAGCTGCAGAAGAAGGGGAGTTTTTCTGTGATCTGTGTGAAATGTACACAACTGAAATAACTTCAGGCTCCCAACTAAGAAAGTATGTTCCAGTGAACTCTACTCTCAGTGGGTGAGCAATGTAAATATATTCCGCTCTAACGAGGAGAGTCAATTCAGTGTTTTGTACGGAGCCCCTCTGATGACATGGTCAAAAAAAATGTTTAATTGTGGCCTTGAAGTAGTATTTCGTGCGCACATTATACTTATTGCGTGGCCACGAAATCCTACTTCGTGGCCACAATTAAACATTTTTTTTGACCATGTCATCAGAGGGGCTCCGTAGTTTTGTTCAGATATTCAGTACGTTTTTTTATGGCTTCTCTGATGTTGCTCAAAAAAGGAGGGATGCAGTCCAAATGGTAAAAGACAACTTAAAATGTCTGCTGATGTAAAATGCAGCTTCATTAATCTATAGGGACTCAACCAAAAGTTAAAGTTCATTTACTGTATTTGCACTTTGCTCTGCAATGTCTTGCTTTAACATTAGTTTCACATTTTTCCCCCACCATTTCAAGTTTTTTAAAACCTGATTTTCTTATTTATTTTTTGTTTATTAAATGTTTTGGATAAGAAAACAAACAAATAAATAAATACAATTATATGGCAAACATAACAAGAGCAAATATAAGCTTTTGTTTAAAAAAAAAAAAAAAATCAATGCCACAGGTTTTTGTCTAATTCACATTAGACCAGGACAATCAAAACTTTTTTTTGTTTTGTTTTTTTGTTCCTTCCTTAACCCTTTAAAGCCTGATCCAAGAATAAAACAAAACAGAAAATTACTTTTTTTTGGTTTGAAGTCCTTATTTGGCCTTTTAACAAAATAAGTTTAAAAGAAAAAACAGAAATACATTTTTGATATTAATAATTTATTACTATGCAATAAGTCAAGATTATTTTTTGTGTCATCTGCCCTTTGTTATCAGGTATGTCTGATTGTGTACAATAGGATTTTGAGCAGTTTTTACCATTAAATTATGCAAAAGGTGTCAGACGCGAAACATTTCAGAAACCGTATGTATCAAATATGATACATTTGGCATTATTGGGTTAAACAAATTTTAATTGGAATTTCTAGTTTGTTTCTGACCTCTTTTTTTTCTTTTTTTTTCAATAGCTCTAATGTTGAAATGATTTTTCTCACTGAGATTTTTATGGTTAAGAACAGCACTATAGGTTCAGCCATTTCCAGCATTCATTAATTCCTTCATTCAGACTTTGACTTCGTCTGTGTCCAAATGTCAGCCCGAACCCCTAAATCCGTCAATCACTATATAGAGCGGGGACTATACAGTGGACTCAGTTAACTGACCGTTCAGACAGATGATCACTACTTTTTGCTCCGGGGTTGTGACGTAACTCTTCCTCCACCGCCCGGTGCCTGTGGCATCTTTGTTGTTAGTCCGGCTATCAGGTAGCAACAGCCTATGGCGACATGTGCCGCTGTGACAGAAAATCCCATAATGTTCTTCAAGGAGACCTCTCCCCTCCAAGCATTGAGCGATTGATTTGTTCGTCTAGTGACCATGGATAATCCCTACTCTTCAAGGTGCATTGTGGGAGATTTTGAGTCCACTACTTTTCCATCCACTACAGTATACGTTTGGACACTCATTTAAAATGGAGTAACCGCTATATAGTGCCCTATACAGTGATTAGGAAGGATGTTCGGACACAGCCTCAGACTTAGAAAAAACTGTATGCATAGTATGTATACAAAACAAAATTCAATTGCATACAGCATTTCAACAGTGAATTAGCAGCTAACTAAGGTGAAACAGTGAAATGAACACCACCATTCACAAAGTGCAGCAGTGATTAAAATGTAAACAGTGTAGGAGAAATGAAACCAGTTTAAAAATAATGCTGCAAAATCACATTAATATGAAAAGGTTCAGTGCAATTCATTATAAATATGGTGCAAAATGCAGTAGAGAATTTGAGTTGTGTCCTATTTAAAAGGATTAAGCATCTCGTGTTCTATCACAGCATTCATTCATTCATTCATTCATTCATTCATTCATTCATTCATTCATTCATTCATTCATTTATTCATTCATTCACTAATTACATAGTTGGTTGGGAAACCTTTTCTCACCAAATATATATTCATCATTAGAAAACGGTGTTTAATGTACTCAGGGTCACTTAATCTGATATGAAACCTTTTTTTTTTTTGCACACGTTACACAATGGCTAATATATAACAAAACAAAAAAAATCAGCATTTTATTTTTCTCAGCACTGTAAAGTTAACCCATCTGATCTGTTTTTTTGTCCTTCCAGTGGATGAAGACACAGAGGAAAGCTTTCCTTCAGGTCAGGAGTCCATGTCCACCAGCGGCGATCTCAGCCTCGGTGGCGGGCTGGCTGATGACAAGCAGAAAGATGGCGCCACGGGCGGGCCAAAGGAAATCAAGAAAGGGGAGAAGGAGAAAGACAAGGACAAGAACAAAGCAAAGAAGGGTGTTCTGAAAGGCCTGGGTGAGATTCTCAGGTAAGAACAACAGAGAGCTTACAGCACTTAAACAACCCATTTGTGTTGCCCCGAGCACCAATCATTGCCTGCTTTATTTAATTCCACTCAACACGTTCACTGGTGGATCATACAGACTCTGAATTCATTCTCTGGATGTTGCCAACGCTAATCAGGGACCCTTTTCCTTGAACCCTGTGAGGTGGTTGGGTGAGGAGGGGGTGGTTATCGACCTCGAGGGCCTTTGGCACTTTAGAGCCAGATTATTTTTAATAAGGGCAACATGTTTTATTCATAATCCCATGTGCGAGGGCCTTCCATCCACATCGCTCAGCATTTGTTAACCAGCAGAAATTGTTCAGAGCCTATACTAATGGGGAGGGGCTGGTATGAAGCTCAGGGAATTAAAGACCTTTGGCTAGATGTTAAAATCGACTCTGAATCAGTTTGTATTGTTTCCTCTGCCTTATTTTAACTTCTACTGTTTCGACATGGAGCGGCCAGATTTCAGCTCAAGAATATATATATATATATATATATTTTTTTTTTTATTTCATCCCTGGAGGTTTTTACTTTGAGGAACCACAGAGAAATATTTATATGATCCTGCAGGAAGGATTTATTCTGACCCAAGGGTAAAATTTTTGCTAAGCACCAGTTTCAACTTTTGTATTTTAGAAAAGCTTTGGCACATTTTCATTTCACATCCACAGAGTGAGATTTAGAAATGTACTATAAGCTTTATAATTTATTTTGTCTGTACATTTGTTTAAAATTGCTCAAACTCAGTCAGATGGTGAAAAATAGTAGTACCACACATTCTGAATTAGATTTAGATGAAGAGTTTGTTCACTTTACCTCATGAAGAGGCTTTGATTTCAACTCATATTATAAACTTTATCATAAACTTCCCTCCCTCATAACCTTGTGATCATCTCCCTCCCTCTCACCACTCTCCCTAAGCATTATACTTCCTCCAACATGCATGTTTATGATAATGGATAGTGTTATATTTCAGGGATTTATTCAACAGCCCAAGGTCAGTTTTTCTTTAAAATGACCCAAGAAGCGTCTTTCCCATTAAATATGTATCATAACTGAATTTCTGATGATCTTTCAAACATTTATTTTCTTTCCACTATTTAATAAAAGCTAGATTTGGAAAGTTAAAGCTGTTTATTGTTGTTATGGCGGGTTAATCCACCTGACCACTTCTGCTGCTCCTCTAAAGCAGGGGTTCCCAAACATTTCAGCCTTTCACCCCAAAAATTACATCGCAGACCCTCGAGAATTGTTATTATTATTTTTATTTTACCTTTATTTTACCAGGATGTCCCTTGAGATAAAATCTCTTTTTCAAGGGAGAACTAGCCAAGAGGCTGCAGTACAGTAAGACATATAAGAACACAGGACAACATAATAAATTCAATCATAAACTAGACTCTAGAATAACAGTTACAATTCTCTGTGCAAGCGGTTTTCAATAGTGATTTAAAATGCTGTAGCGGAATAAGAGTCCGTAATTGCAGAGAGTTTTGAATATTGTGCCACGACCGTGGTGCTGCATAGAAAAATGATGTTTTGCCAAGATCTGTGTTGGTCCTGGGAATAGTATAAAGAACTTGACTTGAAGAGCGTGAGTTGTAACCACTGTTAGCTACAGACATGAGGTGACACAGGCCTTGTAAATGAAAGTAAGCCAATGATGTTGTCTTCTGAGGCTTAGAGAAGGCCTGAAGGCAGAGTTGGTGATGAAACGTAAAGCACTGTGATAAACTATGTCCAGGGAGTGGAGAGCTGAGGAGGCAGCATTCATATATGATGTCTCCATAGTCCAGAACAGGACTTACATATAATCACTTAAATACTCATCTATATAGTGAAGTGAAGCAACTATATTTTACCTTTAATTGTTTACCTCATCATTTTTTTTTATTTGAATTGAATTTAAATTGAATTCTTCAGTAATGCAAATTAAAATATATTGATAAATTTAAACCATAAACCATTGTGTGACCTCCGCCATTCCTGCCAGGCTTTTCACTATAGGTGGACTTGCAATTTTGTTTTATAAATGTATTCTTTGTCTTGATGAGGCTGTTTGGTTACTTATATTGTCAAAACAATTCTGCAAAGAGCATCTCTTTTGTTTTTTACTAGAATTAAAATACACACTTCTGTCATATTGACAATAAAGTGAAGTCAGGTGTGGTGGATATTTAGGTAGACCATCAGAGCAAACCGTGCTGAATATGAATGCATTTATCATGTTCTTTTAATTAACTCTTAGGCTAAAATACACAAAAATGCTAATGTTTTCAAGTAGAAAACTCTTAAAATGCTCTGTGATCATTGTTATTCTATTCTTCCAGTCTTTAAATAAGCTCCATAAGCTTTCAATACAAATGAGAATAAAGGATTTGAGTTATGCACCTTGGAAACAATTGCTTTAAAAAAAAAAATCAAAGACTGGCTGAATACATATCAATAGAAGCACTCACAGACTTACACACAAACAAAACTCCCATCCTGCAGGTATCACTTTAGCATTCCTGTCGCATGAAGAAATGGTGATGGAGTCACATTAATTAGTTTGGTTCTCTGCACATTTTAATATGCCATAAATTAACAGCAAGGAAAGGCGCTTCTCATTGCTATCGTGCTTGAAGTTGTTTTCATGTGGATTACCTTAATAGGATTAGTTAGAATATCACTGGGAAAGGCACAGAACTCTGAACAATAGATGACAAGCATGTTTTAAGATCAAAACTGACGGACTTGGGGGGGCGGTGTTCATTGTGACTGATTTTAGATTTGTACATTTTACACTTACCTATTTCTCGCTCTCTTGTTGTTGCATGTTTGGTAGTGATATTTAAGTAACACTCTCATGATCTCTGACAGATTTTATAGGCACACACTTATGTAGCTCTGCAGAACATTTGAATAGATGTAGCAATTTGAGGTGGAGGTTTGACACTCTGACATGCAATCAAGACTGTGGGCAAAGCTTAAATCTTTTTGAGTAGATCTCCGCTGCTGGTGATTTTCTCTGTGCATGTAGGCCCGGTACATGCCCTTCTTGGCCTCATCATCGTTCTTCATTATCTTTGAGTGCCACAGTCACTTAAGAGCTGGCATGCTGCGGGCCTCGCTGACACTCCCCCTGCTCTGTGCATTTAACGGCAGGCCCTGTGCCGTCCTGAATACAAAGCGGAAGACCTACAAACCAGCTAGACTTCTTCTCAAAGTTTTATTGTATGGCTCTCAACAACTTCTACTTCATGTTGATGCCTTAATGTTTAACTTCAATGTTATGAAATAGAACACACCGTCTTAATATTTCTCTCTGTTTTATCACCTGACAGTTTTTGAAGCTTTACAGCGAGAGAACTGTGGTGAAAATTAATGCATCTCACTGGATGCAACAACAAACAATAAGTGTTGTTAAATGCCTAACGGTCAGAAGGGAGGATAGAGAATGAAAGTGTCATATCTGTCTGTTGCGTATCTAGCTTTTAGCAATTCTGGCACACAAAAAAAAAGTTTTTTTTTTTTTTTTTATTTTATTTCAGGCAGGAAAAGTTTTAATGTTCATGACAAAAGGCTTCAGCTGACAGAAGAGGAACTCTCCTTGAAGGCTTGCACACCACGGATGGAATTTATATTAGTAATTTTCACATTTGAGTGTCTCAGCGTTACATCAAAACATCAAAAAGACATCCTGATTAGGTTAATCCTTTGTACTGCTCCTCTCTGTGGTTTTCATCAGCATAAAATGGACAACCCAGAACTTGCATTTTTGATGGCTGACTTCCACACGTTCCTCCTCTTAAAATCAAGGAATTTGTAGTACTTTGCAGTTTAAGCTCATTTGCATGCAGACATTTGGATTCTGTAATGAACATGTTGTGCATGTCTACCTAATGGACAGGCTGATTGGGAGTGCATAAACCTCAAACCCCCAAACAGAAAAGAGGACCGTCTTACATGGGGGGAAAAAGAAGAGGAATACCACAGGAGTTGTTTTGGAGTGTTATATCCAGATAGTCTAAGAATGACTGAAATCATGCATGATGGAAAGAGAGCAGACCGACTAAAGCTGGAGGCAAAACTCTGCTTTATATGACTCTTCCCTGCTGCTTTATTCTGATTTCTACACATCCATCTCAATAAAATGATCATTTTTTATATATTTTACTTCTAAAAATGATTATTTTGATTTATTTTAGAAAGAAAGATATTTTAAAATATATTTTGTTAAAAAAATATTTGCCTCTTTAGACAGAAACTTATCTAAATTAGTTGTTGAACATCTGTAGACTTGCCTTTTATTCTTTGTAAAATTAGCTGAAAATAAGTCAGGCTGGACAGTTAACACCTGTTAACATCAGGGTCAAGTTTTGCCTTAAATTAATGTCTGGACCTAAACTTGGGCAGAAATCTGCTTCAATCCAAGCTATTTCACTCTAATCTTTGTTTTTTTGGGGGTTTATGTCCATACTGCCAGATACTCTTCATAGATTGCCAAGTATTTTGCTCTTTCCATCTTCCCATCAATTATAACCCACTTTTTGGCTAATCTGAGATATTAAATGACATTAACATGGGAACAAACTAAGAAGGTAGTTACTTCTAAAGGCAGCTCACTTGGTTTAATGGCAAAATGCAAATGTGACACACATTTGCATTGTGAAACACTTTATAAACATGTTGTATTTTGTGTTTTTTATCCAATATAATTTCAGTATAACCCATTATACTCTGTGGCTACAATATAAAATAAAAGTAGAACATTTTAAAGCACTTTGCCTGCCTTCCTTGTAGGATCTTATGGAATCAGCAGACCTCTCTGTATGAATGCAGTAGATAAAAAAACAGCCCTGGGCAGCAGCTATGTATCAATGCTATTCAAAGAAGGTTTGTTACATGCTCGTTTCTGAGTGTCCCTTTCTGCACCCATCTGGGTGTAAGGAGCCAAGGGGGGGCATATTATCCCCCTTACCACTCTACTTTATTAT